CGGCAGGAAAGGTCTGCCGCGCCATGTGGGACCCTCGCTGGTGGCCGGGGATCGAACCGGCGCTGCAGAGGCTGCAGGCAGCTTCGCAACCCAGCGCTCAACCACTGGCCACCGGGGAGGCCCGAGACCTGGTTCTTGACTGTTGCACAAGCAAGGGAAGCTACTGGGATTAGCCAGACCTCAAACTCACATCCTGCACCTCGGTCCTTTCCAGCTAGGCTCACTCACACTCACACACAGCTCATTCTTAAAAAATATTTTCAAAAATTATGTTTGTGAGACATCCTGGGGAAGGTCTGTGAGAGCCATTTATGAAGCCTTTATCAAAGGGATAACAAAAAGGAAAATGCTGGTGCCAGTGGCAGACAAAAATCTCTTAAAGAATTTCTGGTGCCATGTGTTTCAGAAGCATTCCATGAAAATCACTTAAAACAGAGAATATGTAAAAAGCACTGTCGGGCATTTTAGCATCTCCATTTAGCCCATTCCAGAGAAGGCACCACCCAGATCCCAAATCTGTTCTCAGAAATGTGCATAACCAAATTCCCCAGGGACCAGAGGAGCCTGGCTAAAGTGCACTGGCTCCCTGCCAGGGCAAAGAACAGAACAGGATTTTGCATTAAAAAATTGTTTTTCCTTTCTTTTATTTCTTTCTCTTTCATCTTATCTTGGAGGACAGTGTTTCTATTTTTCATTGGATAGAATCTCTAAAGACACAAAGAAATCCCTAAAAGTATACACATTAATGTTACTGCAGTGCACACGGGACTGTTAACTGTCAAAGCAAGTGAAAGAAGAACAGGGCTCCAGCTTAGGTGATATGAGGAAGTGCTTAGCTCTTGGAAGATGCTCTTCTCTTACTGGGCCTCCCTGGTGGCACAGGGGTTAAGTCTCAGCACTATCAAGCTATCACCAGCCACTGCAGCAAGAGTTCGATCCCTGGCCAGGGAGCTACCCACATGGCGCAGCAGACCTCTCCTGTCTCCCCGCTGCTCCCCTCAGCAGTGTATTTCAATGGATCCATCTGTTCTACTCCCCACTCTGTCTCTGGTGAATCCTCTCACACCCCACACCTCAGGCCTGCACCCCAGCCCTTGCATGCATAAATAAATGTTAAAAAAAAAAAAAGATGTTCTTACTGATAAGTACCTGTCTGGGAGAGTGGGGGATTCGGACGCTGGGACCAGTGATGGCACCCAGGCATGGCTGGGAGGCCTGGAGGACTGAATTTCACCATCATCTCAATGGAGCCACATAGCCATAAGCCACCCCAAACAAACACACAGTCTATGGAAACCAGTGGGCTTGGTGTACAAAAGTGGCTTCAAATAGAAGCCCCTGGCCATGCTTCTGGTCAGGTGACAATCCCTGAATGTCTCCTAAGTAGACAAGGTCAGAGTCTTCAACCTACCTTCAGCTAAAGACTGCTAGCAGACCTGCTTGGCACATCAGGCTCCCTTCCAACAACCAAGGTATTAAAGGTGTTGGACATCAGGTGGGGTGTTGGAGAACCTCTGGCCTATAGTACAACAGCTTTGCAGCAGAAACCAGAAGACCTGGGCTCCAGCCTGGAGTGTGCCCTTGGCCCTGAGACTGACAACAAACTGAATACTCCTCGGCGCTAGTCGCCTCATGCAAACTGAAAGGGCTCAACTATAGATCATCTCTATAAGTCTAAAGTTCTAGAATTTACATCACCAAGCATTTCAAATTAAGACAACGACAAGGGCCTCCCTAGTGGAGCAAGGGGTTAAGTTTTAGCACTGTGAAGCTATCCACAGCCACCGCAGCACGAGTTCAATCCCCGGCCAAGGAGCTGACCCACATGGCACAGTTGACCTCTCCAGTCTCGCCCGCTGCTCCCCTCAGCAGTGTATTTCAGTAGATCCTCCTGTTCTGTTCCCTACTCTATCTCTGGTGAATCCTCTCATTCCACCCTCTGCCCCGCACCTCTGGCCTACACCCCAGCTCTTGTAGGCATAAATAAATAAATCCTTAAAAATAATAATAAGACAATGACAACTGTCTCTATAGCTGACATGAACCCCCAGAGACCTGTAACTGTTCAGAACTTTCCAAGGGAGTTTATATTTAGTTCAGAAACGACATCAAATAGAAATGAGACTATTCCAACGACTTCTTTTTAATTAATAAAATTAACCCATAGAATGTCACTTCTTATAATTCTTTCCTCTGAAACTGATGTCTATAAAACAAAACGAACACCAACACTCTGGTCTAGACAGCAGTTCAGCTTTATTTTCTCTCTGTCCCAGACCTGTTCTTTCTTGGAACTATGAGACATTTTACGAATTAAAATAAGGCTAGAGAAATAGTAGAAACCAGCACCCTCTATAACAATTCAAAATGTCTTTGATTTTTCATTTTGTTGGTAATGCTGATTCTGTTTATTTTCAAGACATATTTTTCCCCTTTGCTGGATTACTTACTAGTGACAGGCAAAGAGCAGGGCAAAGAAAAACAAATAATGGCTTTGCCGTCACGCTGGTTTTGGCGTGGCTAGTAACTAGTTGTGTGGCTGACGCACATCACTTAGTCTTTTCTAAATCTTAGTTTCTCATCAGCAAGAGGTGGATAATGACCTACCAGTCCCCCTTCTGCTCCCTCCACCTGAGTAAATGGGATAAGGCCAGGGATAGGAAAAGACACACAGTGCTGGTTCTCTCACCAACTCTCCAAAGAGGGCATTTGCCTCATTTTCAACAATATGGCCATGGCAATTACTTAATGTGGTGGTTAAACAGAAACACATTCCAGAAGGTTCTGTGTAAATGAATTAGGCTCAAAGCAAATCAAGAGCTGAAGCAAAAGTTAGGTTCCCAAGTCTCCCAAAGGCAAAGGTAACCTCTGCTTTGAAGACACTGTCAAGTTGTCTCTCAGTTTTCAATGTGAAGGTCAGTAAGGGGAGCTGGCAGGTGGGGATGGTGGGGTTTACCACCTGTCCGGATGTTAGGGGGCTAACTTTTGGCAAGCTGGGCCTAGCTTCCTCACCCATGGTTCATGAACCACCCTCGGGTTCATCTGACTCCTTCCACTCTGGAACCTTTGCTCATCTAAACTGCCTTCGCTGCTTCTCTGACAGACTACATCAGACTTTGACCTTCCAGAAACTGAATCATGCTTCAGTCCAAGTGAATAATATACTAATTAAGTTATAATTACACATTATACTACAGGTGGGGACTGATTTCATTTGCCAATTAAGAAAGGAAGGGCCTCCACCTCTACCACTCAAATGTCATTACTCACCTCCACCTTGTCGGTACATCAGCACCAAAGAGAAGTGGAGGGAGTCTTTCCCTGAGTGCTCAAGAAGGCCTGAGCAGGAAACCAAACAGAATAAAGAGATTGTGCAGGCAGTAGAGAAGATTCTAGAACTGGTTATATCTTCTCTGCATTTTTTTGTGTATTTCACGCAGTCTCAACATGGCTTCTAGATTCCAAAGGCCTATCAATAAATAAAGTCACTGGGAGGAGATGCAGCAGGTACAGACACAGCTTTAAGCTGAGCTATTCCAGCTCCACTGCCCAGCAGGGAAGAAGATCTCCCTTTTCTAGAAATACTCCAGTTAACCAGTCCCATTAATTTGCCTCCCTCCTTCCCCACATAGCTGTGTGCTGCTTCTCCACCTGATTTACAAGATGGGAGATAGCCCCCAATTCTGCCTACCCACATGGCATCATCCCTCCTTCAAATACTATCCCCTCCAAACAGCAAAGCGCCTGCTCCTCCTCTGTGTGTGTGTGTGTGTGTGTGTGTGTGTGTGTGTCCCTGGGAGTTACTCTGATCTTGCCTTGGACAGCACTTGGATCTTGCCTTCACACTCGCTCAGATGACAAATGAAGACAGTCCCTCGGGCGCACAGCCACGTTCCTGGGTTAAATCATCTTTTTCTCTCCCAAAGCACCTGGACCCTTGCACAAAGCAGTGACTCAGTCCCACCGCTCCTAGATTAAACGCACTGTATTGAAATACAAATACGGTCTTGGTCGCTGGTTGCATTTGTCTGGCCACGCCAAACCACACGAGTGAGTCTCCAATTGCTCCGATCGGCCTCGCGCTCCCTCCCTGCCCTGGACGCGCGCTGAGCAATTGTGAAATTCCCGGCGAGGAGGAGCGCGAACGGAGCAGACCCGGGCCTGCCCGGTCCCCACTGAGTCACCGTCTCCGGAGCGACGGGGCTCGTCGCCGCGCGGGGTCGGGAGAGCGAGACCCGAGCGGCCTTGGCTGGGGGCCGAGCCCGACCAGCCCCCGCGAGGCCACTCGGGGATCCCGGCGCGGGGCCCGCGTGCTGGGGCGCCCTCCGGTGGCGGCGCCGCACACCCCGCAGCCCGCGCGCCCCGAGGCGCTGGAAACCCGACACGGAGAAAGTTTCCGAGCCGCGCGGTTCGCGGGGTCGGGGCCAGGTCCGGGGGCGTCGCTGCTCCAGCGTGGGGGGCAGCGCCCGAGCTGGCGGCGAGCGCGAGAGCCGGGCCCTGACCCTGACCGACGCTCGGAGGCTCCGAGATGCCCCCAAGGCGCCCGGGGCCTCGCGCTCCCCGGGGCGCCGCGCTTCCCCCATCCCGACCTCGCGGCGGAAGGCGGGCGGGGAGCTGCGCCCCGAGCGGGCGGGATCCCCGACCGCCCCACCGCGCCCCTTGCCGTCCCCAGGACGCATTCGGGGCTCCAGGGTTTCCTTTAGTCGTTTTCTTAATTGGAGGGAGGGGGCGCACCCACTCCCGTTGGCGCACACCGGACCCCAGCAGTGTGGAGTCTGGGTGCCCTCCGAGCCCACCTGGAGTCCCCCGCCCACCCAGCGCTGCCCCCCAGGGGGACGCGCGGAAAGGGCACTCCCCGCCTCCCCTCCGGCCCGGGGGCGCGGTGCGGCCCGCAGGGGACCCGCAGGGGACCCGCCGGCCGGGGGGCGGCCGCGGGGGCTCGGCGCCCCGGGCGCGGGGGCGCGGGGGCGCGAGGGCGAGGCCCGGGCGGCGGCTCTCACCTCGTCCACGGTGAGCGGCATGCAGATCCGGTACTCCTTCAGCAGCATGGTCCCGCGCGCCCCGGCGGGCACCGCGCGCCCCCAGACCACAAAGCCGGCGCCCGGGCGCAGAGCAGGCGCCCCGAGCCGCGCTCGGAGCCGCAGGCGAGGCGGCCGGCGGTGCGCTCAGCTCCGGGCTTCCTCTTCTGCGCCCGCGAGCATGTCAGGGTTTTGGGTCCGGGCGCTCGCGATCCCCGCCTCCTTCCTCCCGAGGTCGCTGCTCCCGGAACGCGGCGCTGCAAAGTCGGGGGAGCGAGCCCCGGGACGCGGCTCCGCGGATCGGCTGCCGGGCGCCGGGAGCGGCCGCGCGATCAGGACATGCCCGGCGGCGCGCGAGCGGGGCGAGCAGCCGGGCGTCCAGAAATTACAACGAATGCACAAAAGTCACCGCTGGACCCGCCTCTGCAGCCAGAAAGGACCCGGCGGTCCGCCCTCCGCCGGCCGCGCGCCGCCGCGGGTGTCAGCAGGCGCACATTGCGCCAGGGCCGGAGATGCCGACTTTCCAGACAAAGGCTCGCTCGGCGGCTCTCCCGGGCGGTAAACAAGGTTTCCTGCTCTGTTTAGGGCCGGTCCCCGGGGCGCTCCGGAGCTCGCTGGGGGAAGGAGCCGCCGCCGCCGCCCGACTCTCCCGGGCTGGGGCCGCGGCGCTCCCCACCCGGCGCGCGGCGCGGGGGGCGCGCGAGGAAGCCGGCGCCCTGCGCGCCCCTGCCCGGGCCCCGCGGCTCCCAGCGCCGAGCGCGCCCGCGAGTTTGCAGCCGCCTGGCCGCGGCCGGAGTCCGCGCGGAGCTGCAGAGCCCGGGCCGGGAGGCGGTGCGGGAGGAGCGAGCGCGGGCGAGGCTGACATCAGCCCCGGCGAGCGGCCGCGGCGGGGAGGGTAGCCCCATCCGGCCAATGGGGGAATGGCAAAGAATGTGGAGGGTTTAAACAAAACAGCATGTCTCGCGCGCGCTGCCGCCAGACAGCAGGGCTGCCCCGAGCCCAGGATCCAGGAGGGGGGCTCCCCGCGGCCCCTGGACCCTGGACTTAGCTCTCCAAGGGGCTCGGGGTGCCACGCTGCTCCCAGACACGCTGGGGAGCTTCTCGTTCCTGGGTCCAGGAGTGCGCGTTGACCTTTGGGGAAAGGCTTTGCAATTACTCACCCAGGGCGATTTGTTTGTTGTGTTTGTTTGTTTGTTTGTTTACCCACTCTGGTCAGGTCAGCAAGTGCAGCGCTGAATGGAGAGATGGGGTTTGAGGGCTTGAGAAGACACCCTCGCCTGCTCCCCTAACTGGTTGCAGAGAAGGGGTCCTGGAAAACTGGGGAGGGCAGCAGTGTGCATGGAAATGGAGAACAAACAGACGCGCAACCAGAGGGAAAGCGAACCGGACATAACCTTTTACCTCTCCTGGCCCTGCTCACAGCCCACGGCAGGCTTCCCAGAGCTGCAAGAATAGGTTTTCGTGTCAGCACTCCTAAGTTCAAAAAGTCACAGTGAAATGTCAATGAAAATGCCTGGAGTGTTGGTATTTCATCCATATTAAACAGATCCCTCTTTTTAACCACAAGAGGCACATTCTTCAGTCACTCAGGAAGCTGCATGTAACTGCTGAAGTCTGTTTTTCATTTGTCTGGTATTTTTTAGCTTGTTTTTCTGAAAACTTGCTGGATGAAAAATGCATCGGTTGCCTCTATACAGAATAACCTGCAAGCATCATCTTGTCTTAGGAAAATATTCATGCACTGAGACCCTGCAGTTACTCGGAGAGCTTGGACAATGGCACAGCTGGTCTCGATCCTGTAGGTTTTAGAACGACCATTAATAAACAATTGACCTGTCTAACTATGGTGGACTTGTGGTGGAAACCATCCCGGCGGCCGGAGAGACTTTGTCTCTGTGTGAACATGCTACAGAGCCTGATAGAAGAACAAAAGCCTATCTCCAGCTTATATTTAGTGAACACTCTTTTCTAGGTAAATGTTTCCCAGAATTGGCTTGGAAATATTCACAGCAACTAATTAAAGCTAAACCAAATTCCTCGAGGTGGAAAATGTAAATCTGACACTGTAGTGTTGAATAATAACACATTGAAAGCCTGTGATAGGGGAAGAAGCTCAAGCTGTGTTTCTTTTTTCTACTTCTTACTTGAAAACAAGCGTAGTGACTTGGCTTCTGGCACGTAATGCTCTTCCAGAGGCGGCTAGGGGATCAACTGGCCGCCGCATGTCCACACACCCCCCAGGAGATCGGAATCTGCGGGCTCCGTTCTTGGCTTCCAGACTCTGGTTTCTGTTGATTCTAGAACAAAGTAGTTTACTGATGAATATCATGAGGTTGGGGAACTACTTTTCTGAATTTCTCAAAAGACAGTTTCCCGGAGTACATGCTTCTCTTACCCCTCTTGTAAGCTGACCTTGTTACAGGGCAGCCCCGATATATAAAATGGACATCCTTTTCCCCCTCACAACCTCACCACTGGACTCTCTTCTCCTTTTCAATCAGTCCTTCCACATTCCTGGCCACATTAATCTCCATCCACCGCTCCCCTAATCCTGCCACCTTCAAATCCTCTTAGTGATTCTCCAAGGCCTACTGAGCAAGTGGAAATTCCCAGGCTGGAGGACCAAGGCTCTGAGTGCACTTTCCCACTCCGGTTCCCTACCCTTCCATCCATCCCAGTGAGACAACACCCGCGACACCCCTTCCCCGCAGGGCACTGGCAGTCTGTGTTTTTGGAAAATGATCCTGATGGCAGTGTGTTGGCTGGATGAGGACAGAAGGATGCCAGAGGCAGGAAGTTACTGATTATCAGGACACTAAAGAGACATCTGGAAAGGGTCTGAGTTAGACAACAGATCAGGAGAAGGGGATGAATTTAGGGGCTCTGTAAAGGACTTGAGAGCGGGCTGGTTTTCCCTACCAGGGCGCTGGGGGAGGGGAGGGCCCAGGCAGAGCGTCTCCATTCATAACCATTCGCACAAAGGGAGGGGAGCGCCATCTACTGGTCAGGCACAGCTTCACATGGCCTCGGGTCACCCACCTCAGCAGGTCTGACAGGAGAACTGTACCTTTGGTTCTTTTCAACCAGTGGAGTCCGCAGTATCCACCTTGGAAGATCCTTGAAGGTGGCGTTCCCCCATTACCCCATTATGGGTAGTATGGATAGCAGATTAACGATATACAACCTACAGTTACTGATTATCGCATATAAAAAACGGGTGTGGGGCACAAAGGGCAAAAAGAGGAACCAGGAGTAAAGTTGCCAGGGAGGAACTGGCAGCTAAAGGCAAAGAATACTGTCCACACAGGTCTCTCACACCGGGTTCCCAGAACGGAGGTGGGGTGCCCCCCCCACATCAACATTAATCAGCTGAGGAGCTTTTTTCAACTTCCTGCCTTTCTAGTTCTGATGACGGGCCCCCTCCTGCTTGAAACCTCTTCTCAGTTTGGAGAATAAACTGCAAGGGGGTCCTAACCCATCTCTGCTAAAAGCATGTGGGGGCCCCCCTGGTCGCCTAGGGGTTGAGTCTCAACATTGTCATCGCTATGGCCTGAGTTCGATCCCAGGCCAGGGAGCTGACCCACATGGCGCAGCAGACCTCTCCTGTCTCACCCGCTGCTCCCCTCAGCAGTGTATTTCAGTAGATCTGCCTGTTCTGCTCCCCCACTCTGTCTCTGGTGAATCCTCTCACCCCCCACCACCACACCTCTGGCCTACACCCCAGTTCTTCTATGCAAAAAAAATTTTTTTAAAAAGAGCATCTGAAAGCAGAGTACCAACAGGCCCAGCAACTCTCCAACCATGTTTTATTCCCAGGCTGTTCCTGGAAGCGCTTCAGCAAGAGATGACTGTCCTTCCTCTTTCCTACTAACTCTGAGGTTATGGAGTCATCAAGACTTAGTGAAAGTCCTACAGCCTATACACAGCCATTCTGCATTAACTCTTTACCCATCTAGACAACCCACACACTTATCTGGACTATGTACAATTATCTGGACTATTCGTTTTGGTCTTGTATGCAAGTGCAGCCATGTCATATCATGTCAATACTGTAAGCATCCCACCTATTCGAGTCCCCCACATGACATTAAGCTGAGGAGAAAGACCCTGTTCTATCTGTGTCACCTGGAAAATGTAGCCTGCTGCGAGGGATATTGTAGGAACCCAATAAATATATGCTAGACATTGGGGTATTCGTTTGGGGTGTTCAACTTCAGCATTGCTGACACTTGATGCCAGATAATTCTTTGTTGTGGGGGGTCACTGTAGGATGTTCAGCAGCATCATTGGCCTCTACACACTATCAGCAACCTTCCTTCCACATACATGCACACACAATGTTAAATCTAGGGGTGGTGGTGGAAGGGGACACTCCAGCAGTGGAGAACCACTGGGCCAGTGTAACATTCATTAATCTTAACTAAATATTTAGCTACACCAAGAAGCAGCTTTTGGAGACGCTGACTTTAAACTTGTCCAAATTAGGGCTAAGGCGATAAGGAATAAAACACAAAGGTTACGTCACAGTGATAAGATGCCCCCTTCTCACACCCTTGTTCATAAAGACACACAAGGGTGTCTGTTCATAAAGGAGACCTTGACCTTGATCACTTGGTTAAAGGATGTCTGCCATATTTTCCCTTGTAAAGTTACCTTTCTCCTCTTTGCATAGTCAATTTTTTGGCAGTGAGTCACTAAGGGTGACCTACACTCATGGGGGTAGCATTAAGTCCATTTTCTTGAGGGGAGGGTGTCTACACACACAATGTGGAATTATGCAGGATTTGTCCCTTCTCCCTCACTTATTTATTCATCCAGTAATAGGTTATATCAGTGTGGACTCGTGCATTTTATTCCCTACTTTGAGTTATAAGTCAATACTGTATTATTTATTTTGCTGCTCAAATTATTCTAGCTTTGGCCACTGGTAGCTCTTATAGGTTGGTCCTGGGACTTTCTGTCATGTGCTCCCTTTTGAAGGGCAATTTCTGAAAATCAAATGTGATTCTTACAATTAATTTTTGTTTTATAAATATTGTTTCATTCCAATATTTAGAATGAATAGTCTATGTCAAAGTCTGGGTGTGTGTATTATAAGCACCTGTATGTCTGACCTTGTCAGGTCCAAAGCAAATGTTAAATGCATTCTTAAAACTACACAAAGCACGTCCCAAAGCAATTCTTGCATGTAGACCCATTTATCAGGCCTCTGTTAAATACAGACAAGGCCTTTAATGTGTAAATGCTTGTAGTGATATAGTATGCTCATAAAATAAAAATTAAATGATGTAGTACAAATTGCTGCATGTGGGGGAAAAAAAAAACCTGGAGGTTCCACAGTCAAAAGTGTAGTTTTATCTTTTCTTTTTTAAATAAACAAACCAGGGCCTCCCTGGTGGCACAAGGGGTTAAGACATAACCAATGAAGCTAACCACAGCCGCTGCAGCATGAACTCGATCCCCGGCCAGGGAGTTACCCACATGGTGCAGCAGACCTCTCCTGACTCTCCTGCTGCTCCCCTCAGCAGTGTATTTCAGTCAGTCTGTCTGTTCTGTTCCCCACTCTGTCTCTGGTGAATCCTCTCACCCCCACCTCTGGCCTATACCCCTGTTCTTGTATGCATAAATAAATAAACCTTTAAAAAAATAAACCAGTAATAGACTAATCCATTTAACTTTCACTGTATTAGCAGTTTTTATAGACACTGGCAAAACAATGAAAAATTGTGAGATGAATTATGAGACTACCTGCAACCTATACTCTCCGGAGAGACATTTTAGTGATGAAGGACATTGATTCTGAGTGTCCTTGAAGAGGAGGCAACTGTGTAAGCATAGCTCATTATAGCTCTTTAATACCCTGAGATTATCCTGGATTATCTGGGCAGGCCCTAAATACCCTAAATACTGTCACAAGTGTCTCTAGGGGAAAGGCAGAGGGAGACTGGACACACACCGAAGAGGAAGCAGCAATGTGATCCTGAAGGCAGAGAGGAGAGCTATGAGGCCATAAACCAAGGAATGCCAGGAGCCACCAGAAGCTGGAAGAGGCCAGGAATGGATTGTTCTCTCCCCCTTTGAGGGAGGGTGTCCCTGCCCTACATTGATTTCTGGCCAGACATACAATGTCCGACTTCCAAATCCCAGATTACAAAGGAATATTTTTTTGTTTAAGTCTCTGACTTTGTGGTTATTTGTTATAGCAGCAAAAGTAAATGAATATAATGGGTTAGTTATGACTTTATTCACCTGGTATAATTATGCCCACTTGACACGAAGTCATTCTAACACAGGACCTAGAGGTTTACTCAACAGATCAACTACAGTACCCTTTTCTTTACAAAATGATTCGGAGGCAACTTGAAAATACCAAGTTCTCCCACTACCTTTAAAATAGGCAACTTAGAGAAGCAAATATTTTACACAAATTTCAGGAAAATTTTCATAATGTAAGTCTTATGACTTAAGACACTATTAATAGGCATGACTCCTAAACTCAAGTCTCTAGCCCAAATGACTCTCCTTCACTTGACACTTGTCTTCTCTATGTCACCTCAATATCCAATGGGCGCCTCAAATTTACCATATCCAAAGCTGACAGCCCATCCTTTTCCCCTGAATTACTAGTACTTATCCCTCTATACCGCAGTAATTAAATAACATCTCCATCTTTCAGGTGCTTAGCTCAAAAATCTTGCCGATATCTTTGACCCCTTTACCCTGACATCCAATAGCAAGGTCTATCTTGGCTTTATCTTCAAGTTATATCCAGAATCTAGCCACTTCTGCATCCACCCTGGTCCAAGACAACATAATTTTCCTCCCAGATTACTGCAATAATTTCCCAATTAGCCTCCCAGCTTCTGCCCAACCTAACATAGCAGCCAAGGTGATTCTTTTTTTTTTTTTTTTTAAAGATTTATTTATTTATGCATACAAGAATGGGGGTACAGGTCAGAGGTATGGGGGGTGAGAGGATTCACCAGAGACAGAGTGGGAGAATAGAACAGGCAGATCCACTGAAATACACTGCTGAGGGGAGCAATGGGTGAGTCAGAAATCTGCTGTGCCATGTGGGTTGCTCCCTGGCCAGGGATCAAACTTGTGCTGCGTGTCTGCGGACAGCCTCATAGGTTGCATCTTAACCCCTGCGCCACCAGGGAGGCCCCTGATTCTTTTACTATATAAATCAGTTCACGCAATATTTGCCCCAAATCCCCACTGGCTTCTCACCTCACCTACATTAAAAACCAAAGCTTTGGGCCTCCCCGGTGGCGCAGCAGTTAAGCGCTGGGTTGCGCTGACTTTAGCCCCTGCACCACCAGGGAGGCCCACTCTTAGTTTTTAATTCTGGAAACAATAAATTTATTTACTCCCTCAAACCTTCGTTACTCTCTGTCTTACCAAACTCTTCACACAAAATGTAGACCTTCAAATCCCTTAATCCAGGTACAGTAGCCAACGCATCTTCACACCAAATAAAGAGGCAAAAACATCTTAGCCCAGTGCATCTCAACATTGCCTCCTAGCATGTGTTTCAGAAACACATAAGAAAATTTTGGGTCCTCGTAATCATTTGGGAAAAGAGGGCTGCTAGCACTGGGCAATATAACCAGTCTAAACAATAAAATATGGTCCCACATTTTGTGAGACTTGAATGTCCCGCCAGACGACTCCTACTCAGATGTCTGAGGTCTAGACTCTAACTCCATTTTATATATGCCACTTTTTTTTTTTTTTTTTTTTTAGTTTTCTATCATATTTTTTTATTGAAGTGACATTGCATTGTAACATATGTTCCAGGTATGGATTACTGAAGATCGACATGTGCCAGGCTATTTTTTTTAAGATTTATTTTTATTTATGCATATAAAAACTGGGGTGTAGGCCAGAGGTGCGGGGAGTGAGAGGATTCACCAGAGACAGAGGGGGGAGCAGAACAGGCGTATTGACTGAAATACACTGCTGAGGGGAGCAGCAGGTGAGCCAGAAGAGGTCTGTGTGCCATGTGCGTCACCTCCCTGGCGAGGGATTGAACTCATGCTGCAGTAGTTGTAGATTGCTTCATAGTGCTGATGCTTAACCCCTTGTACCACCAGGGAGGCCCCAGGTTATTTTTTTTTTTAAGTTTTAATATGCTCTAAAATGTTTAAGAACTCATCTATGTGAAAAACAATGAAGATGATACTGTAAGTCAGAATTTTACTGAGTTGTACATCGTTTTGGAAAAATCTGGCTGCCAAAAAGCCCTTTTGATGCTTAAGGAACCAACAGAACACACCTATTTGCATTTACAGTTATTGTGTGTGGGTACAAATGGCCACTTGCTTGTTATTTCTACTGTAGATGTATTTTAGCCTTTACATTTTGAAATATATATTATTTTGCCCTCTTAAAAGGTTTCTTCTTTTTAGCCAGGATGTTGTCTTGCTTTAACTGTGTATAGATGGGTCATATTATACGAATTTCATAAAACAGTAAAATATTGGGCCTCCCTGGTGATGCAGGGGTTAAAGTCTCAGCACTATCAAGCTACCCACAGCCACTGGGACCTGACTTCCATCCCCCAGGGAGGGAGCTAACCCACAAGGCACAGCAGACCTCTCCTGCCTGGCCCGCTGCCCCCCTCAGCAGTGCATTTCAGGACATCAGCCTGTTCTGCTCCCCACTCTGTCGCTGGTGAATCCTCTCCCCCACCCACCCCCCTCCAGCTCTGGCCTACACCCCAGTTCTTGTATGCATAAATAAATAAAAAAATAAATCTTTAAAACAGTAAAATATCTATTTGGCATGCATCCAGGGATGCTGGTGCTGATTAAATTGAGAACTGCTAGATCACTCCAAAATCTCCTGTTTGCCTCCCAAGCCACAGTTGACGCTTTGACCACACCACACACAACCTCATTCGCACTTTCAAGGACCCTAGGCGTTTTAAATAAGGACACAGAGGGCGTGGCTGATAATAAAGCCTGCACTATCCTTAGCAATGAAATATTCTGGCCTAGGTGACCTTAATTCATGCTCACCAACGTCCTACAGGACTGGCAAATAAAATCTCTTTCCAAAAGATCATTCTTACCAACGAAGTGGACTATAGTAAAAGTGAAAGCAAAACAAAAATCACTTTATCTTACTGAGTCGCGGCCCTATAGCTTTCCTTGGGAACTTGCAGAAATTCCACAGAGGCAGCCACCACGACGAGAAAGCCCCTATCCCAGTAAAGTGAAGGGACTTGCTCACGGCTGGAAGAAATCATAGTATTCCAAAGCAGGGGTGTAAGACTATAAATGGTGTGGTCCATGCTATTGCACCAGTTCCCCTCACCACAGCTTCCAGAGGGGTAAGTCTGTCTCCAGAGCCCAGAGCGCACCAAGCCTGCCAGGCGAGCGCCGAGCCCCGCCCACGCCCCGCCCACGCCCCGCCCCCAGGGCTGCCCGCGCCAGTGCCTGACTGGCGGCCGGCGCAGGGGGCCTTGCGGGGTCCTTCGCGCGGGCTTCCGACACGCTGCCTGAGCGGGTGTGCGCGCTGCTTCCGGTGTGGGTGACGAGCAGTGGCCGAACAGGGGGACATCAAGGGGCGCTCAGGCAGGGACCATGGCGGACGGCGGCTCGGAGCGGGCAGATGGGCGCATCGTCAAGATGGAGGTGGACTACAGCGCCACGGTGGACCAGCGTCTGCCCGAGTGCGAGAAGCTGGCCAAGGTGAGGTGAGGCCGGCTGGCTGTTGGCGGGCGCCAGGGGCTGAGTCACGGCGCGCAGCCTGTAGGCCTCAGGGGGCCTGCGGGCTGGAGCGCGCATCCCCCCATTGCCTGCCCTGCCGGGGTTGGGGCTGCGTGGGTAGGAGATCCCCGGGCTGCCCGGCCTGGGAGACCCCCCCAGCCGGAGCACCTGGTGCTTCCAGCGCCCCCAGCCCTCCGCCGCACCCATGGTCACCCGCTCCCCGGAGGAGCTGGGGCCCTCTAGTAATTTTTGTTTGCTTTTGCCTTTTCTTGGATACAGCGTCACGTTGACTTTTAAGTTTCTCGAGGATTAGGGAAGCTTCATCATTCAGGCTGGATCAGAGAGTTTCGTTCTGTTCGCCCATGCTGAATCAGTTTGTGACAAGATGTTTACCGATCGTGGCGTTGTGCCTGGCCTTTGGCCAGAAGGGGCAGAAAGTGGTGGTAGGAAGGTGATGGACGCGGAACCCCAGTCCTTAAGGGGTTCGTGTACATAACCTACTAGACAAGTCATGAAAGATGGTGAGTGCCATGCAAGTCTAAAGTGTTCCTGGAACACAGAAGGAAGCCTCATTCTCACTGGTGGGATAAGGGAAGGTATTGCAGAGAAGGTAACATTTGTGTTGGGTCTTGAAGAATGGTAAGATCGGAATGGGAGGGAGTAATTCCTGGAGGGGGAAGTACAGAAGTAAAGACAAATAGACACTAAAGTCCGAAATAAACTAATTAGAGGAGGTTTTGAACAGTAGTTTGGCCCGATTGCTTATCTGCCATCGGGATAGAAATTTAACTTGATACCGACATTTATCATTGCCTCCCTGCTATGTGTCAAGCAATTTTGTGTATCATTTTACATATAAAGAAATCAAGGCTGAGGGGGTTTTTTTGTTGTTGTTTTGGTTTTTTGTCCCGTGTTACACTTAGTGATAGAACCAGGATTCAAAACTTGGTTTGCCTAACTGGGTTTAGAGTGCATGTTGAATCAACTCCATCATAGGCTATTGCTCAGGATTGTGCTCAGGCCTCATTAAATACCTTGATCAGTCCAGCCACAAACATTTATTGCTGTTCACCAGGGATGAATTTGGTAATAGAGTTGTTTTTATCCCTTAAGGAGCTTACTGCATAAGTACATTAAAGTGTAATAAATTCAGGGTCAAGAAGAATGTTAAGTGATACTTCACATTTAGTTCTTAGAAAGAAACCTTTTTAGTGCCTCTTTTTCCCCAAAAAAGAATTTAATGGGGCTTTATGAAAAGTAAGTGTAGGAAAAGGTGATGAAGCTGGTACACCTGTATTTCTTTTAGGTTCAAGTATACTTGAGGGAGAGGAGCCATAAACTTATCCCTGCACTTTCTAGCAGCTGGTCTGAAGAAACATCATCGTTTACATAAGGGTGGGGAAACACACTGAGAGTGGCAGGCAAATAACAATAGCTGACATTCATTGGGTACTTTCTACTGTGCTAGACATTAGGTTAAATGTTTATATGTATTTAATAATTTGATTCTTAGCCCTATGTCATAGTTATTAGTATTTCAAGGCAAGAAAACACAGTAAGAGAAGTTGAATCCCATTGTGCTGAGGTTATACTGCTAGTAAAGTGGTGGAGCGAGATGCAAATCCGAGGGCTTGTGCCCTCGCCATGCTGTCTTGCCTAGTGAGCCCAGTGTAATGGAAACTGAACTTCTGAGCAATGCTCAGGGGACGGGGGCAGTAACTCTTCACCTCCAGTTAACCTTTGTCAGTTGGGGATGAAGAGACATGTCATCTCTTGTAATTTAAGGGAGAGAGCAGGAATATAGATTTCATACTAAAAACCTGAATATTTGGAAACTAGACACTAATTTGTTCTAAAATACTATTTGAGCCATTATCATGTAGATCAAACAAAGCATACCTACAGGCCAAAGTCAGCACCTGAGTCGCCATTTCAGAATTAATAGAATTAAAGTGTCCACAAAGAAGAAATTTGGGGTGATTTTTTTTTTTTTTTCAGATTTATTTATTTAATGCATACAAGAGCTGGGGTGTAAGCCAGAGGTGGAGGGGGTAGTGGGTAAGAGGATTCACCAGAGACAGAGTGGGGAACAGAACAGGCAGACTGACTGAAATACACTGCTGAGGGGGAGCAGCAGGCAATACAGGAGAGGTCTGCTGCACCATGTGGGTCAGCTCCCTGGCCAGGGGATCAGCTCATGCCACAGTGGCTGCCAGCAGCTTCATAGTGCTGAGGCTTAAACCCTTGCACCACCAGGGAGGCCCAAATAAAAAATTTGTTTTAAAGTACAACTGTTTTTAAAACAGGCCTGGGAGATAAAACAATTTCTTTTGATAGCCTGTGTGTGCAAGACCTAGTCAGTGCTAGACATTGTGGGGAATATAAAGATTATTAGAACTCTTGCCCTCATATACCTTATATGCCAGTAAGGGTTTGTAAGAAATATTTCACTGCTACAGTTGTTCTAGCAATCACATTTATGACATTTACTTAGGACATTGTCATATGATTAAAAAGACAAACTACAAATGCCAAATAGCTTTTTAGGTGTTAAATGGGTAACTGAAGTTTTTTAAAACAAGAATATTGGAGCCTGTTAAACTAGATAAAATTAAAGACATTTGGATTCAAGACATTTTTTATTTTTAATGTGAAAGACATTTTGGAGATAAAAATCTTGTGTCTACATATGATGATGGTGCACGGGTGAATTGGTGGTGGAAATTCTATGGGGACTACACCTGAGAAAAAAAAGCAAACATTGTTTAAAAAAATGATGTAAGGGCCTCCCCGGTGGTGCAGCGGTTGAGCGCTGGGTTGCGAACCTGCCCGCAGCCTCTGCCGCACCGGTTTGATCCCCGGCTGCTGGGCCAAGGTCCCGCATGGCGCGCAGACCTCTCCTGCCGCCTGCTGCTCCCCTCAGCAGTGTTCTTCGGTCCTTCTGCCTGTTCTGCTCCCTGCTCTGGCTCTGGTGAATTCTCTCACCCTCCTGTGCTTCTGACTGTACCCAGTACTTATATAAATAAATAATAAATTTTTAAATAAATAAATAAATCATATAGGAACTATATGCTGTAAACCAACATTACCTCAATAAAATAATAAAATTAAACTCATTGAACAAAAAATTAATTTTAAAAAAAATGATGTAAAATATATATATAAATATAATTTAAAAAAATCATGTGTCTAGAGACTTAAGACCACATGTAGCAGAAGCCTTCCAAGGACAGACTGAAGTCTAGGCCTGGGTGCTAAAATGCCGAATCTAAGCTCTCTGACTCTCCTATAGTTGTGATCTAGTACAATTCTGTTTCTATGTCTTCTTTCTTTTTTACTGAAACAATACAAGTTTAAGTACTGTACAGGTTTCAGGGGTAGGGTTTCTCACCTCAGTGACTGTACATTCTGTATCATTGTCTCAATATTCACTAGCAAATAACAGTAATATTTAAGTCCATATAGTCTTAGCTATTATGCTGATGATATGCATACTATGTCCCGGCATACTTTGGTGCTTTAATACTTATACCAACCCTACGGGACGGGAAATGTTATTAGGCACATTTCACTGAAGAGAAGATTGAAAGCAGGAGAGAGTTGGTATCTTACCCGAGGTGACAGTGTAAACGGTTCACTGGTTGTTAGCAACTTGAACAAAAGGCCTCTAAGAAAAAGGTCTTTAAAATTTGGATTGGCATTCAATTTCAGCTATTTGTGATTCTTTCTTGACCTTTTTGTTGTTTAAATTTAACAAATCATTAAAAGATTGGATTCTTTTAACACCCAAACACACACATTTTCTAGACACCCAGCATGTATTTATGTTGAACAAACGCCATCAGTTACCTCAATTACAAGGATTATTTTAATGAGAAAAATGAGTTACAAAAGTCATGTGTTCTAACAAGTTGGTTTTGATCGCTTGGACCATCTTTTCCTTTGAATTGAAAGGAGGCATCAAGAAGGTAGAATTTTGACAGCTATGGATAGATGTGAAAGACTAGAGGAATATGGTTAGCCTGAGGACTGAAATGGAAGATTGAGAGGGGAAAGTGGGCTGATTAGAGGATCGGGAGGTGTTATAACAAATAGATGTTCGTGTCCCTCAGATGGCCCTGAATTGTCAGGCATGTAACTTACTACGTCCTACTTACTATGACAGCTAGAATCAGAAATTGTAAGTCATTGAGGTCAACTGAAGTTTAAGTCAGTGTTGATCCATTCAGTGCAAGGAGGTATAAGGGTAGCAACAATAATCAAGCAAGCTCCGGCTCTAAGGGAACTTACAGAACATTTAGGAGACAAGACATATAAATTAATAACTATGAGGCCAACTATTAAGGGATATACCAAAGTATCCACGGAAGCACCATTATGCTCTTGGCCAAGTGCAGAAGCTGAGCTACAGTGGTGGACAGTGTAGACATGCCTCTGCTCTCACAGAGTTTACTTTCTAGTGAGATTAGAAAGATGGTAAAAACTTTCTAGAGGCACTAGAAGTTAAGTCTCTACACTATGAAGCTCTTCACAGCCACTGCAGCACAAGTTCAACCCCAGTCAGGGAGCTGACTCACATGGCGCAGCAGACCTCTCCTGCCTCGCCTGCTGCTCCCCTCAGCAGTGTATCTGCCTGTTCTGTTCCCCATTCTGTCTATGGTGAATCCTCTCACCCCCTATACCTCTGGCCTGTCCCCCAGTTCTTGTATGCATAAATAAAATAAATCTTAAAAAAAAAGACATTCATAGCTTAAAAGTTATCTTGGAAAATAGGGAAACAGATTTTTGAAAAGCCCAAACATTACTTATACCCTTAATATAAAAGAATACTTTTCATCAATAAAAGAATACTAGTATGTACCATCCGTGAATATCAAGGCAAAATTTTTCATTTATGATTAGAAAAAGTTTCTAAATAAAGCCCTCATCACTTCCTGTTGATTTACAGTTATTAATATATTAAATAAATGCGATTTTTGTGCAGTTTTTGCAAAAACAAAATTGGTTTGTTTTTAATCAAAGTGCTTGATTTCCACTCAGCTATTAAAAAAGATGATCTTGCCTTTTGCAACCTCATAGATGGAACTGAGGTGATTATGCTAAGTGGAATAAGCCAGAAAGTGAAAGACAGTTGCCAGATGGTTTCTCTAGCATGTGGAATATAAATAACCAAAGCAAAACTAACAAATCACAACAAAAATAACTTTTAGACTCTGAAAATATAGTGGTTACCGGAGTCGGGGGGTGTCAGGGAGGCCATCAACCCCAGGGTAAGAAGGGGTGCTACAACTCCGGTGGTGGGTCAGGTGAGACTTACAGCACTTACAGTGTAAGAGTCTTATTAGGATGGCTTATTTGGGTTATTTTAGTCCTGCTGTGTTATCATGTAGGTTCATATTTAAATTTGGTTCTCATTTCTAAATGTATGTCCCAGGGAGACTTGTTTTTGCATATGAGATGGGGTTATCAGTTAACACAAAGGGGTGTATTTCAGTTGGATCAGTGTCTGCTTCAGAGCATGACTTAGTAAAAATAGCTTTTGGGTAGTCTCAGGTGGTCTTCATTTCCTTTAAGCACATTGTTGACTTATTTTTAAAGTTAGTGAAAAACTGAGCCAGGGTTTTCTATCTTTTTCCCTTTTTTCCTCCTTAAAACTTCATGTTTTAAAATAATCATGGTGAACTTAAAAAGAGCATTCATTTTCCCATTTTTAGTCTTCAAAGACTCGTGACTGCCAGTTAAGCATGTGGAGAACAGGTAACAGGTGTCACCACAGTGAGTTGATAAGTCAGAATCCAGAACAAAGCCATGTTTTTCTGTCAGGAGCATCTCATTGTGGAGTAGTTATTGGTATTGTGTTGGTGTTGTTTTGTGTTCATTTTTTATCTTTTGTTTTAGGAAGGAAGACTTCAAGAAGTCATTGAAACTCTTCTCTCTTTGGAAAAACAGACCCGTACTGTAAGTAGATTGTAGTGAAAATCTCAGTCACCATTGATTTCACTTATTTTTTTTCTATTAACTTGTAATGTATTTTCATTCTTACAGGCTTCTGATATGGTGTCTACCTCCCGTATCTTAGTTGCAGTAGTGAAGATGTGCTATGAGGCTAAAGAATGGGATTTACTTAATGAAAATATTATGCTTTTGTCAAAAAGGCGGAGTCAGTTAAAACAAGTGAGTTCACGATTGCTCAAAAAACAAATGTGTTAGCATTTACATAAGGACATTTATAAAAGTATTCTTTGTTTATTGTTTTAAATGACTGTGTTGTCTATAATAGTTTTCCTAATCTTATATCTTTTATTAAACCCTTAACTTATTTTTAAGGCCATTTTCAGACAGATTATTTTCACTATTCATTTCGTTTAAAGATTATATATGTTCTTGTTTTGCTGTTTTTGTGAAGCTGGATTTTCTTTACTGTTTCCTTCTTCTGCCTGAGATATATTTAAATGATGCTTTGTGAAAGTAGATTCTACTTTTTACATTTATATCTCATTTTTGACATGCTGTTCTCTGAGCAGTGTCTGGTTTTTTATATTTTGCTTGCAAATAAAAGAGATAATGACATTGTCACACAGGGTACTTGTGGAGCCAGAAACAGAAATATAGGATTTTTATTCAAATCCCTTATTTTACTGATTACTCAGCTGCTAGACTGAGCTTCGTATTAAGGCTGGGTTAAATTCTTTTATGCAATAAACAAAGTTACTGTAATTGTTCCCTTTTTTGTTTTTAGATTAGTTTCCGTGCATATAAAATTCAGTGTTAAGAATTAACGTATTGAGGCAGTCTAGTACTTTTGAATATGAAATGTATGACTTGAGAGGCCAATATAGATCAACTGTCATTTTCCTTCGATTTTCTAAGATATTTGCTTTCTATGGGTGGAATAATTTTTAAAGGCCATTTATCTAGAGTTCTTGTGGCAACCTGGGATAAAATAAACAAATAGGTGTTACATATAGTATTAGTACTGTTCAAAACATGTATCCTAAAATAGAGATTTAATTCATAACAAAATATTAGAACTAGTAGAAGGGACTGTTTTATTCTGTTGCCTTTTTTTTTTTTTTTTAAGATTTCTTTATTTATGCCTAGAAGAACTGGGGTGTAGACTAGAGGCAGGGCAGTGAGAGGATGTGGTGAGAGGATTTCCAGAGACAGAATGGGGAGCACAATAGGCAAAGCTACTGAAATACACTAAGGGGAACAGCGGGCGAGACAGGAGAGGCCTGTGAGCTGGCTCCCTGGCTGGGGATCAAACCCAGGCTTTAGAGGTGATGGTGCTGAGACTTAAACCCTACGCCACCAGGGAGGCCCCTCTGTTGCTTTTTCTGGTGGGGAAACTGAAATTTAGTTGTAAAGCTCTTGCAATGTGAAGAAACATGCCATTGACAGTTCTTGTCTTCAAGTAACCTAGTGGTTAGTATGGAATATAAATCATAAGTTATCATAGTCCATTTTTTTTTTTTAAGATTTATTTATTTATACAAGAACCGGGATACAGGCCAGATGTGTGGGAGGGTGAGAGAATTCACCAGAGACAGAGTGGGGAACAGAACAGGCAGACTGACTGAAATACACTGCTGAGGGAAGCAGTGGGCGAGACAGGAGAGGTCTGCTTGCCATGTGGGTTGCTCTGAGGCCAGCGGGGATCGAACCCACACTACAAAGGCTGTGGACAGCTTCACAGCGCTGCGCTCAACCGCCTGCTCCACCAGGGAGGCCCTATCATAGCACATCTTTAACAAGTGCCGTAAGACTTATTCTTTAAAAAGGAAAAAATTACGTGCACACACTAGGCAATATATATATGACATGAGAGTACTGAAAAGTGCTAAGAGATATGACAGGAGGAAGGGAAAGTATTTGATTAGGTTTACTGGGTAGACTTTCTTGAAGAAAGAACTCAGAGCCAGCCTCACAGTCAGCTGATGATATAACCAAAGCTGGAACTGGGGCTACTCTTTTTGCTGTGACATGTTGTGGAAGGAGCTTAGAAACTCAGCATACATCTTTCCTTTTCCTAGAATTACTACATTTTACATAAAATTTTTCTGTTTTGCTTTATCAGACTTAGAAAGTAATGATTTTTTTAAAATAACCTTTTCTAGGTTGCTTGAAATTAACGGTTTTTAATTAACTGGGGGTAAGCCTTGCACTAACATCCCAATGGCTTACCCACCTTTTTTTTTTCCTCCCAGAGAGTAGCAGGGTGTTGTCATTAGAATATTAATGTAGTAGTTTTGTTTTTTCCTTTTCACCCCATCTAGTTTTGTAAATGTATTTTTTGCACAGCTTTTAGAATTATTGAGTTGCTGCCCTTATAGAAATCATTATTATAACCAGTTTTAGAGGGATCATGTTTTGTGATATACCAGGTGTCCCAGAGCCACGCACTTCCTGAAGGAGTTATATTTTACAATGAAACCTTTGCTTTCTGGAACTCCTAGGTCTCCAAACTGCCAGTTTTTTAGGTAATTTAAAAAAAAAAATCTCAGCTACATGAACATTAAATGTTTTTCAAGGAAATCTTTGCAAGATATATCTTACAATTTTTTTGTCCATTTTATTGAGGTGTAACTGATAACTTAATATCTTTTCCTTTTCTGCTATCTCTACCAAAGAGTGCTTACTGTAATCATCATTTTCTTGATGACAAAGAGTCCTAGTTATTATTACAATGATTGTTGGATGCGGTTCAGAATCTAGAATAGGGGTTGGCGAATGATGGGTTCACAGACCAAAACCTACCTGCCATCTTTGTGGATAAAACTGTTGAAAGACAACTACTCCCAGTGTCGAATGTTGACCATATAGCTTGGGGATTACAAAGGCAGAGTTGAATAGTTGTCACAGATACCCCGTGGCTCCCAAAGTCTAAAATATTTACAAAAATATACATAAAATGTTTGCTGACCACTGACCTAGATCATAGAATATTAAAGCTGAAGGAAATGTAATCCAGCCTGCTTATAACCTGTGGGGAAACTGGGCAAGAGCTGCAGTGACTTGCCATGTCACGTTTCACTGAGGTGAGTGTAGGTGCTGGGCTTCCTCCTCCCCACTCCGATGACCGAACTGTTTGACCTTTACCTTTGCCACCGACTCTTAACTCCCTTAGCCACAGTAACTGTCATGGCTTCACTGCCCTCACAGCTACTGTTGGTCTGTGCTTCTCTTGCCCACCACCTTGTTTTCCTTTAGTCTGCTGCCACTTCTTCCATGCATCTCTGCTTGGCTGCAAAAAAAAAAAAAACCCACAACTAGCTAATAAACCTCCCGATAGATATTGCCAGACATACCTCCTCAACCTCTCCTTCCGTGAAGTCAGTTCACCAGTGGTAGTGAGGAGTGGTGAAGTCTGTGACTGAGAGCTCTTCCTAACCTTTATTCATTTGTTACTGGGCGTTCAGTACTTCTTGGCTATCAAGGAGACTTTGATGTTCTTGTATAGGCATTTCAGTGTCTGGAGTTGCTTGGGAAGGCCATATTTGACTCTAACACTTCATCAATAAAATAAATTTTTCCTGTATGAGTAATTTTATTTATGAATGGTTTTTATTATTTTAGGCTGTTGCAAAAATGGTACAGCAGTGCTGTACTTACGTCGAGGAAATCACAGATCTTCCAATCAAGCTTCGATTAATCGATACTCTACGAATGGTGACAGAAGGAAAGGTAAGTTTTTTGCTGTCATTACTCATAGTGACAAGTATTGTCTAATTTGTATTCAGCAATACTTACATATTTAGAGATTTTATATAAGTGTGTATGTGTCTATTTTTTAAGACAAAATACTTAAAAAAATTCATCACCTTAGTTCAACCAGAATCTTAGTACATCTCCTTGTAATGTCTTCTCATATGCAAATGAGTATGTTTAAATAGCGATAGTCTTGGAATATCCAGATTTTTCTAGGAATTAGTGATCTTAGCCCAAATTTATATTTGGTAATAATGAATTAAAGATACTATTAATTAATTTTTCACCCTGACCTAGATTTGCTTGAAAATTTTCTTTGAGATAGCTAGGGTTTAATTTTAAAATTAATAGAACATTTACAGCATAAGATTAATTTTCAAAACTTCACTCTCTGGGCCTCCCCGGTGGCGCAGTGGTTGAGCGCTGGGTTGCGAAGCTGCCCGCAGCCTCTGCCCGCAGCCTCTGCCGCGCAGGTTCGATCCCCGGCTGCTCCCCTGCCACCGGAGGAGGGTCCCGCATGGCGCGCAGACCTCTCCTGCTGCCCGCTGCTCCCCGCAGCAGTGTACTTCGGTCCTTCTGCCTGCTCTGCTCCTTGCTCTGGCTCCGGTGAATTCTCTCACCCTCCCGCGCTTCTGACTGTACCCAGTGCATATATAAACAAACAAACAAACAAACAAATAAATAAATAAATAAAACATGCCTCTAAAAAAAAAAAAAAAAAAAAACAAAAGTTTCAAAACTTCACTCTCTTACCCCAAAAACTCCACAGAAAAGCTAATTCAACTCATCAATCAGTTCAGTAAAGTGGCAGGATACAAAATCAACACGCAAAAGTCAGTAGCCTTCCTATACACAAACAATAAATCTGAAGAAGAAGAAATCAAAAAAACCATCCCTTTCGTTATTGAAACAAAAAAAATCAAATATTTGGGAATAAATCTAACAAAAGAGGTAAAGGACCTATACAAAGAAAACTATAAAACACTGTTAAAAGAAATAGAAGAAGACACAAAGAAATGGAGAGATATCCCCTGCTCATGGATTGGGAGAATAAACATTATTAAAATGGCCATCCTACCAAAAGCAATATACAGATTCAATGCTATTCCAATCAAAATTTCAATGTCATTCTTCAAAGAAATAGAACAATTATTGATGAAATTCATATGGAATCACAAAAAACCCCGAATAGCCAAAGCTCTCCTGAAAAAAAAAGTAGGGAATGGAGGCATCACACTCCCAGACTTCAAACTATACTACAAAGCCATAATCATCAAAACTGCATGGTATTGGAACAAGAACAGACACACAGACCAATGGAATCGAATAGAAAATCCAGAAATAAACCCACAGATTTATGGTCAACTAATCTTTGACAAAGGAGCAAAGACTATGCATTGGAGCAAAGAAAGTTTGTTCAATAAATGGTGCTGGGAAAACTGGGTCGCTACATGCAAAAGAATGAAGCTTGACCACTACCTCACACCATACACAAAAATCAACTCAAAATGGATTAAAGAATTAGACATAAGACCTGAAACCATAAAATATATAGAAGGAAATATAGGCGAAACACTACGTGATTTGCACATCAAAGACATCTTTACAGACACATCACCCAAAGCAGTGATAGTGAAGGCGAAGATAAACAGCTGGGACTACATCAAATTAAAGAGCTTCTGCACAGCAAAAGAGACAATAACAAAAACAAAGAGAAACCCCACCAACTGGGAGAACATTTTTGCACCCAACACTAATGATAAAGGACTGATCACAAAAATCTGCAAAGAGCTGATGAGACTCAACAACAACAAAGAAAATAATCCAGTCAAAAAATGGGCAGAAGAGCTAAAAAGAAACTTCTCTGAAGAGGAAATGCAAATGGCCAACAGGCATATGAAAAAATGTTCAACATCACTTGTCATCAGGGAAATGCAAATCAAAACTACCATGAGATACCATCTTACACCAGTGAGAATGGCACATATTAAAAAAACTAGCAACAACAAATGTTGGCGAGGGTGTGGAGAAAAAGGAACTCTTCTGCACTGTTGGTGGGAGTGCAAACTGGTCCAACCACTGTGGAAAGCTGTGTGGAGATTTCTGGACCTACTAAACATAGAGCTTCCATATGATCCAGCAATTCCACTCCTAGGTATTTACCCAAAGGACACAGAAACATCCATTCCAAAGAACACCTGCACCCCTATGTTTATAGCAGCACTGTTTACAATAGCTAAGCTTTGGAAACAACCCAAATGCCCAAAAATAGATGACTGGATCAAGAAGATGTGGTACATATATACCATGGAATATTACTCAGCATTCAAAAAAGGTAAACACATGCAATTTGCAGCAACATGGATGGCGCTGGAAGGGATCATGCTCAGCGAAATAAGCCAAAAAGAAAAAGAAAAATACCGGATGGTCTCACTCATAGCAGGAATCTAGAAAACTTAAATAAGGGACCAGGAAAATGAATAACTATAAGAAAGTGAAAATCAAAATCAACAAAAAACTATGAACCAGAGACACTTTTAGGGGGGCAGGGGCGGGAGGGGAGGGATTGGGGTCAGAATGGGGGTGCTGCAATTGTATGGGGAATATAACAATAAAATTTATTATCTAATAAAAAAATAAATAAATAAATAAATAAATAAATAAAAAAAGAAAGAAAAAAAACAAAACTTCACTCTCTTGCCAGAATCTTTTTGTATTTCTTCCAGCGCCTTTCCCCACTCTCCCCTTTAGTCTCATGTCTCTAAAAAGGGCAAGTATGGAATGATGATTGTGGTGAACATGTTTCTTTTCTAGGTAGATTTTTATAATTTGAGGATAGACTCTTCACTCTTTGACTGCCAATTTGGCTTTGTGTATATTTACTGAACGCCTGTGTTGTGCTAGGTCAAAGTGAGGCAAGATCCTTTTTTACCTCAAGGCAGTCACTGTCACAGAAGACAAAGACACAGGGATAGTTGATGAGCCCTGTCATGGCAGTAGCTGTGTGTCCTTTGTTTCTGACAGGCTGAGGTGCGCCCAAAACCTCAAAGAATTGGTCATGGCCAAACTGACTTTAAGAATGAATAAAAGTTCTACAGGGTGGGGAGTAGGGGAAAGGGCATTTTATACACAAGGGGGAATTACATACAGAACTGCCAAGGGAAGAAACGCATGGTGGATTTAGCAAGCTGTAAGTGCTTTTTTATTATTAGAGATTCAAGTTTTGGGGCTTTTTTTTGAGATTAAAGTTTTTTTTTGAGATTGCACCACCTTTGGAGGTGCAATAGGGCAAGGGGCTTGTTCCACACCAAATACTAAGGGGGTAGGCAGGCCTAGGTCAGTAAATTAGTTCCCTAGTCTATTATTAGGCTGTAGTCCTGTACTTACAATGTTTAATTTGTTGGAAGTTATAAATCCATTAATGTTATTTATAGCTATAAGAAAGGTTCACAACTTTAATACTTTGCAATATCAGATATTTGTAAAGCAAGTAGTCTTGTATTTAAAAAATAAGTCAGGGGGCCTCCCTGGTGGCACCGGACTTAAAGTTTCAATACTGTCACGCTATCGCCAGCCACTGCACCACTAGTTCAGCGAGCTGACCTACATGGCACAGCAGACCTCGCCTGTCTCACCCGCTGCTCCCCTCAGCAGTGTATCTCAGTAGATCTTCCTGCTCTGCTCCCTATTCTGTCTCTGGTGAATCCTCTCACCCTTCCCCCCACACCCCTGTAGCCTATACCCCAGTTCTTGTATGCAGAAGTAAACAAAAATAAATCTTAAAATGTTAAAAAAAAAAAAAAAGAAGGCAGAATCACAGTATTGGTGGAACTGTAGATACTGGACTGCATGCTCTCTTTGTAAAGTGTGCTATTATTCAAAAATTTTTTTAAAGACAGTTTACATTTTCTTTCCAATCCTTTTAAAAGGCAGTGTCATTTATGTAGAACTGTGGTCCAGTTATTTATTAATCGCTGTGATTTCATATTTAGCTTCTCATAGTAAAGTTGCAGATATTGCTATAGGAATTTTGATAATACAAATTTCTTGTATTTGTAGATTTATGTTGAAATAGAGCGTGCTCGACTGACTAAAACATTAGCAACTATAAAAGAACAAAATGGTGATGTGAAGGAGGCAGCCTCCATTTTACAAGAATTACAGGTGGGTGCTATGTTTTAGAGTGTGTGAAACTTTATATTTAGTCTGCTCTATTTACTTATGGAAATAATTTATTTCCACAAACGTTGATCTTTTTACTGGCGCTATTGTTTTACTTTTAAATTTTGTTTTTGACCAGGAGGATTATGTGCCTCATGATTTAACATCCCCAGTAAAATACTCTTGCCCAAAAAATGAATCCCAATTATATAGCTTCTAGGTTAGCTACCAGTTTATAGGATATATTTGGAGGGAGAAGTTTATTAAATGATAACCCAGGGATGTGATCAGCAAAATTCATACTCTAGGAAACTATGGGATAATGCACTTGATTTATGTCAACAAAGGAAAAAAGACAAGAAGCACATCTACCAGTTGCAAAGAGTTAGCCTTATTTGGATTCTGATTCAATTTAAAAAATAAATGAAGACTATTGGCAACATCCTAGATAATTTGGTAATAAAAAGAATTCTTAGGTATGCTCTTTTTTTTCCTAAGTTTTAGAGACACATAATGAAATATTAAATATAATTTTTTGTCAGAAATTTGCTTCAAAAGTATTTGACATGGAGCCTCCCTGGTGGCGCAGGGGTTGAAGTCTCAGCGCTGTCAAGCTATTGCCAGCCACTGTGGCATGAGTTCTATCCCCAGCCAGGGAGCTGACCCACACATGGCACAGCAGACCTCTCTTGTCTTGCCCGCTGCTCCCTCAGCAGTGTATTTCAGTAGATTCATCTGTTGTGCTCCCCACTCTGTCTCTGGTGAATCCTCTCACCCCTCCTCACACACACACCTGGCCTATACCCCAGTTCTTGTATGCATAAATAAATAAAAATCTTTTTTAAAAAAAGTATTTGACATGGAGGGAGGAAAATGATTTATAAATAAAACATTGATGAATAAAAAAATCACAAAACAATGAAGTAAAATATCTTCAAACCAAATAATAATGATATCCTTATTTAATTCTACATTGTAAATGAGCCATTCTAGACTTTTAAATTCATTTATACTATTTTGTATTAATAACAAATATTGTAGAAGAATCATTTTCCATAGTGTTTGATGTGATTCTTTATGCTGTATTTGTGTATGGTCTGTGTTAACTCCACATTCTCTAACCATTAGGAATCTTATTAGCCTTACCTGAAATTTGAAGACTAGTACCTTATTTTATGGTGTGATTTCAACTATTACATAAATAGAAAGTCTGCAACTGGTATCTTTTTTCTTACTGAGAATTGCAGTGTCCTCATTAGCTATTAGAAAAATGCAAATTAAAACTACAGTGAGTTACCATTTTATACCTATTAGAAACTCTAAAATTTGAAAAATACTGCTATAACACCAAGTGCTGGCAGGGATGCAAAGCAACTGGAGCCCTCATTATGCTGCTATTGGGAATGCAAAATGGTGCAGCCATTTGGAAAACAGTTAGCAGATCTTTATACAATCAGGCACACTTACCATATGACCCAGTGGTCCCACTCCTGTGTACCCAAGAGAAATTAAAACTTTCTTCACACAAAACCTGTTTACTGATACTCAGAGTAGCTTTGTTGTGGTAGGCAAAAGATGGAACCAGCCAAGATGGCGTTCTGGAGATGAGTAGAAAAGCTAGTTCATACAATAGAATGCTGCTTGATTATAAAAAAAAAAGAATGAACTGAAAAAGGCAAGGTACGGGAATGAGTTACTAGATAGATACAACAATTTCAATGGATTCTTACTATTCCACTTAGCATTATGCTGAGTGAACAAAGGCAGTTTCAAAAGATTGCATACTATGTATAACATTCTTAAAAAGAGTAGGTGTGATAGAAAACAGATTGATTTTTAGGCGTTGCAGAGTGAGGAAGGTATGACAAAAGGGAGCTGCGTGAGGGAGTTTTTGGGGTGCTAGAACTGTTCTGTATCTTTTTCCTTTTTTTATGGACTGTTTAATATTTTCATTGTGATAGTGTTTATACACACCTCCAAATGTGCTAAAATTCATAGAACTTTATATGAAAGGGGGGGAAAGTCATTTTACTGTATAATCTTATTGTTGTTGTTTTTTTTTGCCATTGTAATTTCCTGGAGAAAGCTAACTTTTTGTATTATTGTCATCATTCTTCCCATATAGTGAAGATCCTTATTTTTTACAAGGGTGCATATTTTAATACCTGATTTCATTGCAGTTTTTAAAATTACTAAATCACTTTTGGGGACTTTACCAGGTGGAAACCTACGGGTCAATGGAAAAGAAAGAGCGAGTGGAATTTATTTTGGAGCAAATGAGGCTCTGCCTAGCTGTGAAGGATTATATTCGCACACAAATCATCAGCAAGAAAATTAATACCAAGTTTTTCCAGGAAGAAAATACAGAGGTAATCATATCTCTTACTGTAAATTTACTTTAAAAGTAGTTGGGGGTGGGTGTAGACTATAAGCTCCAATTTCTTTTTTCATTTCTTTTTTTCAGAAATTAAAGTTGAAATACTATAACTTAATGATTCAACTGGATCAGCATGAGGGCTCCTATTTGTCTATTTGTAAGCACTACAGAGCAATATATGACACTCCTTGTATACAAGCAGAAAGTGAAAAGTGGCAACAGGTAAGAATCTTTTCCTTTACTTGACATTGACACTTATTAGGAAGAATTTAAATTTTTAAAATTTATTTTGAAATAACTAACTTCAGTAATTATATGTAATTGGATGGTGCTGCTTCTATTAAGACCTAGCATTACCTTGGAAAATTACTTTATAAAGCTAATTTAAATAGCTTATATTTATGTTTGTACATATTGTACATGTATTTGCTGTTGATTTATTATGAGAGCTATTTCTTTATATACTTGTCAAGAAAATGTCACCCTGGGTTACTATTCAAATTATCAAAGGTTTATTGTCATAATTTTATGAAAACTAAGTATTACAGGAAGATAACTATGAATTGGGCAGCCTGGAAAGAATTTTTCCCCTTATACGTTATAATTATGTTGTACAACTTTTTTAGGCTCTGAAAAGTGTTGTCCTTTATGTTATCTTGGCTCCTTTTGACAACGAACAGTCAGATTTGGTTCATCGAATAAGTGGTGATAAGAAGTTAGAAGAAATTCCTAAATACAAGTAAGTACTTTTTAAAATTAGTACATCTCAGTAGAAACACCGGTTTATAATGAGTATGGTATATTTCGGTAGAAATGCCATTTGGAGAGAAAATTGGTTGAGTATAGATTTCTTAATTAGAATTAGTTGTCTGCAGATTCTATTCAAGAATATATCTGGAGAAAAGTGAAATTTTTTTAGCACTGTAATTAGAAATTATTGTAATTAGATTATAGCATACTTCATTCTAAACCACTTATCAAGAAATTTTATTTTAAACTCACTTTAACAGCTTTTGTTTAGGGCTTTGTAATGTTCAGAAATACTTTTGAAAATTTACGACATAAAACAGATATTAGACAAAAGCACAATGGATTTTTTATTAATCATTTTACAGCCAGTTATTCCAGAGATTGTCAAATAGAATAATGAGAGAGCAGTTTATTTAGTGCTAATCTGCTCTGTTCGAGTTACTGTGGTAAAAATGATGGCAAAGTTGGCAGAACAAATGACAACATGTATCTTGTTGTATTAAATAAAAATGTATAAAAACAGTCTTTGTTGATACTAAAATTTTGCTCTGTATTAGATGTTAATTTTTATAGATTTGGAATATTAAGTTTTATGCAATTTGCAGGGATCTTTTAAAACTTTTTACCACAATGGAGTTGATGCGTTGGTCCACACTTGTTGAAGACTATGGAATGGAATTAAGAAAAGGTTCTTTGGAGAGTCCGGCAACTGATGTTTTTGGCTATACAGAGGAAGGTGAAAAAAGGTGGAAAGACTTGAAGAACAGAGTTGTTGAACATGTAAGAATCTGGCATGAGAACAATGACAGTTTAGAAGTAAACTTTGAGCAGAAACTGTTTTACTTTTCAGGTTTGATAATTGAATGTTTTTTTTTTTTTAATATTGTATCTTTCATTCCTTACTTCAGGATTTTTTCCCACCTCAGTCTAGTGGTGGTGTAAATTTGTTATTGAAAGTTTTGTTACAAATTTCTCAAAGCTTAGCAGAATTTGTTTCATCCCTCTTATTCCACCCCCCCAACCCCCATTCCCTTTTTGGCTTTTCAGAGAAGATAGCCATGTTTTATTATTTTTTTTAATTATTTTTTTAAAATAAATTTTACTTTTATTGCCCATACAATTGCAACCCCCTTATTTTGACCCCAATCCCTCCCCTCCTCCCACCCCCCATAGAGTGTCTCTGGTTCATAGTTTTTTGTTGATTTTGATTTTCACTTTCTTATAGTTATTCATTTTCCTGGTCCCTTATTTAAGTTTTCTAGATTCGTGCTGTGAGTGAGACCATCCAGTATTTTTCTTTTTCTTTTTTTTTTTTTCTTTTTTTTTTTTAATTTTTTTTTTTATTTATTTATGCATGCACTGGGTACAGTCAGAAGCGCGGGAGGGTGAGAGAATTCACCAGAGCCAGAGCAGGGAACAGAACAGGCAGAAGGACCGAAGCACACTGCTGAGGGGAGGAGCGGGTGGCAGGAGAGGTCTGCGCGCCATGTGGGACCCTCCTGCGGTGGCCGAGGAGCAGCCGGGGATCGAACCGGCGTGGCAGAGACTGCGGGCAGCTTTGCAACCCAGCGCTCAACCGCTGCGCCACCAGGGAGGCCCAGTATTTTTCTTTTTCTTTCTGGCTTATTTCGCTGAGCATAATCCCTTCCAGTGCCATCCATGTTGCTGCAAATTGCATGTGTTTATCTCTTTTGAATGCTGAGTAATATTCCATGGTGTATATGTACCACATCTTCTTGATCCAGTCATCTATTTTTGGGCATTTGGGCTGTTTCCAAAGCTTAGCTATTGTAAATAGTGCTGCTATAAACATAGGGGTGCAGGTGCTCTTTGGAATTGATGTTTCTGTGTCCTTTGAGTAAACACCTAGGAGTGGAATTGCTGGATCATATGGAAGCTCTATGTAAGATAGCCATGTTTTAATATGCTTCATTTTGAGAGCCCCTCTTAATACTTTTAAACATACAAAGCAGAAGGAATTTCTTAAGGATTTGGGGGGGGTGAGTTTGTGTGGCGGGGGTGGGGGGGCGGTTTCTGTTCATTACTCACTTGGTAGTCTTGGAAACACATCGTAAACCTGAACTTTGATCTTGGTGTTACTACAAATTGAATTATATCAGTATGCACATAATGGCTATTATGACCCATCTATATGCCAGACACTGTACAGAGTGCTGGGACTTGTAAGAGAAGATGTGATCCCTACCTGCAAGCAATTTAAAAATAAATCATAAGTAGGGGGGGTCTCCCTGGTGGCCTAGGGGTTAAGTCTCAGCACTATAACTGCTATGACCTGAGTTCGATTCCTGGTAAGGGAGCCAACCCACGTGGCACAGCAGACCTTTCCTGTCTCTCCTGCTGCTCCTCTCAGCAGTGGATTTCAGGAGATCTGCCTGCTCTGCTCCCCACTCTGTCTCTGGTGAATTCTCTCCCCCCTCGCCCCTGCACGTCTGGCCTGCGCCCCAGCTCGTGTATGCATAAATAATAAATGTTTACAAAAATTAATCATAAGTAAAGCTGTATTTATAAGTAAAAAATAGGTATCGTGGTACAAGTAAATGTAGAGTAAAGCATACGGAGAGGATTGATTGAGTCTACTTGGAGGAATAGTCGAGGTAGAATCAAAGGAATTGATGGATGAGGTAAAATTTGTAAGAAGAGGATGTGGTTGGCAGGCAGACAAGAGATAGCAGGCCCTTTAAGGCAGATGGGATAATTTGAGCAAGGGCAAGGAGCCCCAGACTGGCAGGGAAACCTGGGGGAAAGGGGCACAGCTGAATGGAAAAGGGAGATGAAGAAGGGTCTGGATCATAACAAAGTTTCTACACCCCCAGAGTGAAAGCTTTGAACAGAGGGGATAATAATGAGGTTTGTATTTTACAAAGATCTCTCTGGGAATAAATGTGGAGAATGGATTTGGAGAGGTATCGTCCTGGAGGAGAAGAGACTAGTTAAAGTGCGGGTATGGACTTGAATTAAGGCAGTTAACCAAGGGGTTGAGGGAGAATGGATGTAATAGCATTATTTTAGGAGAGACGACATTAAGAAAAGAATCTCTAGGGCCTCCCTGGTGGCGCAAGGGGTTAAGACACAACCTATGAAGCTGTCCACAGCCACTACAGCATGAGTTCCGTCCCCGGCCAGGGAGCTACCCACATGATGCAGCAGACCTCTCCTGTCTCCCCACTGCTCCCCTCAGCAGTGTGTTTCAGTCGATCCGCCTGTTCTGTTCCCCACTCTGGTGAATCCTCTCACCCCCACACCTCTGGCCTCTACCCCAGTTCTTGTATGCATAAATAAATAATTTTTTTAAAAAAAAAGAAAAGAGTCTCTAACGTCAGCACCATTTCCAGTGAGAAGTGGGAAGTGCAAGTTGCCCTTAGGTAGCTATAATGTTGACAAAGTGAGTGGTGTTTGGGATGACCTCGGTATATCTTAATTGTGCCTTTTAAACTTTTGTGTCATAATTAGAAAAGCTTAACTTTGAATTCTTGCACTTAGCAAAAATAATTTAGTACAGTCATAATTTTAAACCACTTATTTGGTGATGATAAGCCTATATTTTGACTACATATTTTTTTAAGGGAGTTGTGGAGAATATGCAAATAACCTATAATTTCAGAAACCAGAATACCTAAGTATCATTCCAGTGGTGGGCTGTAGAAAAGTGAGAGCTCTGAGTCTGACATCTTAACTGGATCTATTTGGGTATGAAAACAAATGGACTTTTAGACTCACTGATAACTGCCCTCTCTCCTTTCCCCAGAATATTAGAATAATGGCCAAGTATTATACAAGGATAACAATGAAGAGGATGGCACAACTCCTGGATCTGTCTGTTGATGTGAGTAGTAACCAACATTGAGTCATACGTGGCCAATCATTTTGAGTATCAGTTGACTTGTAAAAGTCCAGTGAGAAAGTCAGTGTTGTTTTGTTATTTAAGAATTTAGTTCAGGTAATACACAGTTTCTCCATGTTACATTGAGTACCAAAAAGTAGCCTGGAACGTCTAGTATATAGTTACATTAATATTATTTGTATGTTTAAATCTTTACTTAAGTAAATATGTTAGTCTTTGAGTTGATTGACTTGAAGTCCAAGCTGTATGTTTCTGTTGTAGATGTGTCTTATTCCCAGAAGTGAGGTACAGAAATAAAAGATGTGAGGGAGACGTGATTGCAGTTCACCTGGAGATATCCCAGGACACATAGACGAGTACTGTGTTCAAGTACTGGGTTTCGTGTCATTGTGAGTGTGCAGGGAGGCAGATTCAGACTCTGCCTGGCTCTGAGGGGACTCAGATTCTCGTCATTCCTTTGGTGCTCAGTGACATAAGTATATTATCACAGGAAAGCAGCAGTTGCTAACTGTTCGTGATGAATTTTAGCTCTGTGTAGTCCTGGATGAAGAGTTTAGGAAATGTATTCTTTGAATTTTGTTTATGGTCTATAATCATTTTGTCTTAATCCAATTTGTCTTTCTTTCTCGCAGGAGTCAGAGGCTTTTCTCTCGAATCTGGTAGTTAACAAGACCATCTTTGCTAAAGTAGACAGGTTGGCAGGAATTATCAACTTCCAGAGACCCAAGGATCCAAATAATTTATTAAATGACTGGTCTCAGAAACTGAACTCATTGATGTCTCTAGTTAACAAAACTACACACCTCATAGCCAAAGAGGAGATGATACATAATCTACAATAAGGGCCCCAATGCCCCTAATACTTTTAGGAAAGAGTTAAAATTGGAAATTATTAAAAAAAAAAAAAAAGGACTCTTATGGTGTATATGTTGGGGTTGGTGTTTTCTATTCTCAGCTCCTTGTCTAAAATTTAAAACATAGTGAATAAGTTTGAGTCCCCTTTCAACCTTTCAATTCATGATTTCATTGTTAACTTTGCATTTTCGATTGATGCAAAACTGTATTACGTTTCTATTGTCTCAGTACTCAAAAATTGTGTCATAACTTACCCAGATACATTTTTCTATTATTTGAAGTCTTTTTAGCTATTATTTGTTTCCATTCAACTAACAACCCTAATTATGACAATAAAAGCAGTATATGCACGTTTACTTTCTATGGTTACCTGTGTTCTGAACATTTTGTGGAATAGTGATTTGACAAGTGTTTTTTAAATAAAATAAATTTTGTTGTAAACCTATCAATTATTTGGTAGAACTTAAAAAGCAAAGGAGGACATAAAAACATTTGGGCTAGAGTTGTAATTTGTGAAGATTTTGCGTTTTGGTATTGTGGCAGAAAGTTCCTAGATGAACTGGATAGAGTGATCCCAAATCTATCTACTACTTTTTCTTTTTTGCACAAACCGGTTTCCATTATAGTAGCTTGATTTTTCACTCCTGTCCCCTGACTCAGCCAGTTGTTGAACAAAATCAAGTTCCAAGGTGTTGACACAATTTAACATACAAAGTCATTTTTAATCTTCTCTGTGGCTTTAATTTTATAGATTCAATTACATCATTGGCTCCAAATTCATTATCTCTTTATGGGAACTATAATTGTATTACACGAACACTGGATAAACAACCTAAAAATGTTTTTTAAAGGTCTACAATAAAGACTTCAGGCCACCCTCTTAGCAAATGATATAATATTGACACTTTTAGAATAGAATTGAACAAAAGTAGTATTACTGTCAAGCAAAACATTTGAGATCAATTAATGAGCAAATTTTGAAAAGTTGATTTATTCCAGAGAAGACAAAAAAATGAAACAATGTTAGAAGTTTATTTAAAACGATGTTTAAATGAAGAAAGTGTGAGGTCTGCTTTTTAAAAAAAACCTAATTGTGGGGTGGGGGGGAAGTATTTTGCTAACAGCATTTCTCAGAATTTGTTTTCCACTTAATCGTCACTGAATTGTCCTATTTCATGATCCCAGGATTGGAGACAATTGTGGGACCTTAACTATTTATGCTGAATCATTGTGAACAGTAACACATTATTAGTCTAATTTTATTCATTGGAAATTTAATGTGTTAGTCACATTTATAACATTGACATCTGCTATCACTTTTAAAAAACTAACCAAAACCATGGCAAGTTCAGAAACATCAGAATTTCACACTAGCAGAACAAATATGCTTTTAATTTTCTTTTGAATTAAAAGGATAGAGAATAAAATCATTTTGCATTGTTAAATTGTAAGTAAAGTTGCTGCTAATTTGAATTTGCTTCTCATTAACTTCATCATTCTAGGGATTCATCTCCCTTATCCTTGCCAAACTTGAATATTTGGCCAAAATATTTCTGTAAAGATCTCAAATGCAATTCCTCTTTGTTCTTGATTTAACATACTCAGTCTTAGCTCTGTGTATTCTGTATTGTAACTGTCCCTGTGACCATATTACACTTGATTGCTCTTCTAGTTCTTGTTTTTTTCTGTTAAAATATTAATCAAGCAAACTTAAGAGTTATTTGCCAATTTCTTAGTGTTATAAAAAAGAATTAGCATAGAGTGGTAAGACATTTGAGATGTTCAGAACCTAGAATCTGTCTTACATTTCAGAGCTAGTGCTGGATAGAACCATTTTGTTTCAAATATGGAGGAGATAATACTTGACTCATTTTCATTAGTTTACTAACCAGCGAACTTTCACTTTTGTTTTTAGTGAAAAACTTGTACCCATTTATTTGTATATAATTTATTTTAGAATTTTTTAGCTGTTTCTGTAATTGTCCGCAATTTCTACATAATGAGTCATTGAAAAGCTCATCTTTAAAATTAATACATCTCCATCCTATCTTTATGAGTGTTAAATGTATGGTCAAAAAGTAAATATTTTAAATTGTTTTCAGCTCCTGGATATAACAGCAATAAGAACACTAATTTGTGGGTATTTAAGAAAGCCTGGAGAATAAACTCATATTTTAAAAGATCAATTCTCTTTTCAATTCTCTTACAAAAAAAACATAATTTTCATTTTTGTTTTTACAAAATCATCTGTTACTTCTAAACCTGCTTTTAAGCAGTGAAATAACATTTTGAATGTTTCAAGAGTCAATTGACTTTTCTCCCTGAAGTCTTTCTGATTTGGGGTTGTTGTTAGTAGAGCCTAGTGCTCTTTACCAGTGGTTCTCCAACTTAGTGCAATCAAGATCACCAGCAGGGCTCCTTAGGGCACATAACTGGACCCCACTGCCAGGTGTTCTGATTCAGGAGGTGTGGGTGGGGCTCCAGAAAATTCCTTTCTGCCAAGCCCTCAGATGATGTGGTGCTGCTGTTCCAATGGGCCACTATTGGAAACACTAGTAAAGCTACAGAAACACTTTGGTGGTATAAAAGATTTTTTATGAGAAAATAATGATCTTGAACATGTGTGAAGAAACTTTGAAATGCTTTTAGTATGTTTTGGTTTCTTCAATATAGCAACCTTCTGTGTAAGTGAACAACTAAGCTAAATGAAAAATATTTGAAGCTGCCCACTTTTTAAAAATTAAACACTGTTGAATCTTTTGAAAAGTAACTTTTCCATTCCAAATTTAAATTCAATCATTCTGGATCAGATCAATCTAAATTTGGGCTAATGTGATAGAAATACTTTGTAAATTATGGATTTCTTTTCTCATACAAGAATATGTATGTGATATAAAATAAAGCTAAACTTAAGGGCCTCCCTGGTGGCCTACCGGTGAAGTCTCAGCGTATTTCTGTAAAATCTGCCTGTTGTGCTCCCCACCTCTTGCCTGCACCCTAGTTATTCTGCATGCCCACCCAAAAAGGTAAACTTCAAACAATAGTGGAGCTGTAATGGAACATTATTCAGCCCTGAAAAAGGAAACTTTGACATGCTACATAGATGAACTCTGCAGACATGTGAAGTAAGCCAGACACAAAAGAATAAATACTGGGGGCCTCCCCGGTGGCGCAGCGGTTGAGCGCTGGGTTGTGAACCTGCCCGCAGCGTCTGCGGCTTCGGTTCGATCCCCCGGCTGCTCCCCGGCCACCGGAGGAGGGTCCCACATGGCGCGCAGACCTCTCCTGCCGCCCGCTGCTCCCCTCAGCAGTGTACTTCGGTCCTTCTGCCTGCTCTGCTCCCTGCTCTGACTCTGGTGAATTCTCTCAACCTCCCGCGCTTCTGACTGTACCCAGTGCATGTATAAACAAAAACAAACAAACAAACAAATAAATAAATAAAAGCATGCCTCTATAAAAAAAAAATAAATAAATAGAAGTGGCTTATTTAAAAAAAAAAAGAATAAATACTGCATGATTCACTTATATGAGGCACATAGAGTAGTCAAATTCATAGAGGTAGGAAGGAGAATGCTGGTAGCTATGGGCTTGGGAAGGGGAGGAATGGGGAGTTAGTGTTTAATGGATACAGAATTTATTTGGGGGAAGAAGTATAAGTCGTAGAGATGGATGGAGGTGATGGTTGCACGATAGTGTGAATGTACTTAATGCCCCTGAACTGTATTTCATTAATTTTATGTCACATTTTACCACACCAAAAACAAAAAGCAAGACCCTCGGTAATAGAGGATATGCTGAGGAAGGAGAGGCAGATGATTAACTAAGTATTGGCCTGTGTGAAAGAATACACTGCTCCACTCAGCAGTGTATTTCAGTCAGTCTGCCTGTTTTGCTCCCCGCTCTGTCTCTGGTGAATCCTCTCACACACACAACCTCCCCGCCCCGAACCTCTGGCCTACACCCCAGTTCTTGTATGCATAAATATCATAAATTTAAAAAAAAAAAAAAAAAGGTGCAGACTGCCTCCTGGATAGAAGATCCTAAAGATTTCTAAAAAGGAAAAGAGCCAAAGCAGAACAATGAAGGCTTGGGTGATTGGATGTGGGTGTGCTGGGCAGGTGGTGCATCTGTGCAGGTTGAGAGCAGAACTAGCTTCCGCTCACAGAATGGCAGTTTTCCTCTGGGTGGAGACTTTAGTATGCTAATGAGACCGGTGGCTATTTCAGATCACGTGTGGTTGGAACTGCACATGCCCTGGGTGTGCCTTTTGTCGGTGGACTGATCAAACAAGATAGAGGTAGTTAGAACCTGGTTAGCAAGATAAGTTGAGATATTGCTTAAAGTAAATCAGTTAGGCATTTTAACTACCTTGCTGGGAATAAACCAAACAATTGACTTATCTGAACTATTTGCTTCTCTAGGGCCCTGGTTTGAGAAAGCCATTGCTAGTTTAACTCTTATCCCACTAACCATGAAGACAAACTCCATAAGAGCTGTTGTCTTGGGTCTCCCCGGTGGCGCAGTGGTTGAGTGCTGGGCTGTGAAGCTGCCCGCAGCCTCTGCAGCACCGGTTCAATCCCAGGCCACCAGCGAGGGTCCCACATGGCGCACAGACCTCTCCTGCCGTGCCCGCTGCTCCCCTCAGCAGTGTATTTCATCAGTCTGCCTGTTCTGTTCCCCACTCTGGCTCTGGTGAATTCTCTCATCCTCCCGCGCTTCTGACTGTACCCAGTGCTTGTATAAATAAATAAATAAATCTAAAAAAAAAAAAAAAAAAAGGAACTGTTGTCTTGTCCCTGCTGTCAAAGGAGCCCAGAGTCAATGGAATAAGCTCTTATTGCGACTGGAGTTAAGAGATTGGGTTTCAGCCACGATGGGTGTGTCTCATGTGTGTCACTCCCAGTGGCACAGTTACCATGAAGTAGGCAGCCCCATCTTCAGATCGTCTTGTATCTGAAACCCAGCAAGGACATTTTAGGAGTTTAGAACCGAAAACTCTAATGCACATTTGGTATCATTGAAAACAAATTAAAAAAAGGATTATTCAATATGAGTAATAAAAACATCTAAATGGACACACATGATTTATACATCCACAAAAACGCATCTGGGTCAAGTTTTCAGAAACTTTAGTTCATAGAAATAATGTTCTCAATAGAGGCAGCTTCATTCTGCAAGAGAGTGTCAAACACATCTTTTCTCGATTTTTTCTGCATTGCAATACATACAGTCTTATAATTATTTGATATGTAATGAGTACCAATGCAGTTAAAATCATCTTTGTCTTTAAGAAATCTAGTGTTTCTAAATCTAGTGCCTTTTAATTTGATATCTTCATTTGCACGTTTTCCTTGAACTGTGAAAGAAAACCCTGGTTTCATAATGTCCTTTTATGCTTAAATGTCATTTGCAAGTGCAGAAACTAAAACAGTTCAGGCATTATGATGTAAAGTAATTTTACTTGATCAAGATTTTAGCATTATATTCATTTAAATTTGTTGAGTTGAAGAATTAAATAACTTTTAAAAAGCTAACTAACCTTCAAGAAAGAGAAAAGATAATGCTGGAAGGAAGATGTTTCTTAAAATGCATATCATGTCTGCTACGACTGAATGCAAAACATAATGTCTCACTACAGAATACTAAACAGCTGGTTTCTGGATGCTTCCATGTCTATTTCCATTGTTTGTGGAACACAGGGCAGATATTTTACTCAAAGTGTTCTCACTCAATGGAACCACTATATAATATCCCATTTCCTTCAGCTTTAGAATGCAAATCATGAACAAGAAGAATAATGTGATTTTCTTCTGCCGTCAGTACTGGGATTACAGTAAGGGTTTGGAAATTCCTGCTTTAAGATTTAGATTATAATAGCCACGTTTTCTGGACTACAGCAGATAAGCAACTACAAATTGTCGCCATGATTGGCAAAATCTGACTACAAGATGGTAAGTTTTTAGAAGGCAACTTTTACAACTCAATTCCCAGTAATTGGAATAGCTCCTTGCACGTAGTTAGTTCCACGCTAGCACAAAGTGTGGATTTTGAAGAATAACCAGATAACTTTCACTTGACTATCTCCAAGATATATAACCAAAGAAACACCGTGTCCAGCATAGAGTTAGCCTTGGAAGTTAAAAAATGAGAAATCACAGAATCATACACCAGCATTGTGTGTGTCTGCAGAAGCAGCCTTTGCTTACTGAATCCAAGTGTTCTGGGCCTCACCATGGAAATGTAATTACAACCCAAACCCCATGACCACCTTGTCTCTCATGAAAAGGAGGCAGCATGAAAAATAGACTAAAATCATATAACAAGTTTGGGGCCTCCCTGGTGGTGCAAGGGATTAAGATGTCGCAGCCACTGCAGCACGAGTTTGATCCCCAGCCAGGGAGCTACCCCCATGGTGCAGCAGACCTCTCCTGTCTCACCTGCTGCTCCCCTCCACAGCAGATTTCAGTAGATCCACCTGTTCTGCATCCTACTCTGTCTCTGATGAATCCTCTTACCCCCACCTCTCGTATTCATAAATAAATAAATCTTTTTAAAAAATGCATCTTTGCATTTCCTCCTCCTTCACAGTCTCCTTTCCTTGGTCTCTCACTCTTGCTCTCTGATATTGCACTTCCCTAATAAACCAGAAGGAAATAAGCATTTGCCCTAGGCAGTGCTTTCTGGGAATCCAGGCTAAGAGAGTTGGTATTTTCCACATGACTATACTGACTTTAAATTAAGCCATCTGCCAATCTTCCTCAGTAATAGAATCTGAGTTCTTTAGATTGTAAAATATGGTGTATAGTGAATGCAGACCAGCTCCCTACTCTTCAGAATAAAAGAGCTGTGAGGACTCCAGCCGCAGAGAGGTTCACACAGCCCCACCCTCACTGTATCTACTTCCTCCATCTCCTTCTCTCCTCAGCACCCTTCAATTTGACCTTCACCTCTTCACCTTCTTCTGAGATGGTCCTTCCAAGGAGACCCATGTCCTCCATTGAGTCACATGCAATGGTCACGTATCCCACCCCCTAACCGCTTAGTATTTCCTGTGTTGATGATCACTGTCTGAAATTCTTTCACTTTATTCTTCTCACTCTTTAGTCTTTTGTCTAACTGGCTTATTTGACCCAGGAAGGTAGTAGACCTTTTCCTCTCACCTGGAGTTTAGAACAGTGCCTGAAACACAATAGGAATTCATCTTTGTTGGATATGAAAGTCATGCTTGTTGGATGAATGGAGACTGGAGAATGCTGGACTATTTCCCTTGCACGGGTTGTTGTTTTAAACGACTTGAGACAAAGGAGATCGGAGGGTGGTTTGCAATCCTTGGAAATAAATGGCTTTTCTGGGCCTCCCCGGTGGCGCAGCGGTTGAGCGCTGGGTTGCGAAGCTGCCCGCGGCCTCTGCGGCGCTGGTTCGATCCCCGGCTGCTCCCCGGCCACCAGAGGAGGGTCCCACATGGTGCGCAGACCTCTCCTGCCGCCTGCTGCTCCCCTCAGCAGTGTACTTCGGTCCTTCTGCCTGCTCTGCTCCCTGCTCTGGCTCTGGTGAATTCCCTCACCCTCCCGCGCTTCTGACTGTACCCAGTGCATGTATAAACAAACAAATAAATAAATAAAATAAAAAATAAAAAAACAAGCCTCTATTAAAAAAAAAATAATAAATGGCTTTTCTGCCTGTTAATAGGTAAGTTCCCCAGGTCTTTCTTCTACTACATTTACAATTACTATTTTGCACAAAGAGGAAGGGTCACCCAAAGAGCTTATTGAGCAGTGAGAAGCAAAAATGATCCTGTGCTTCCCCGTTATATCTCAAGGGCTTGGGGAGTGTCAAGAGCTTAGAGGCCTGGGACAGAAAGGTCCTAAGTCTAAGTGTGGTGAGTTGGGAGGATGCAGGTAACCCTAGAACCTTTACCTCGGTGCTGGCTGC